AAGGTGCTAGATGAATCCTGTGATAGTGACATAAACCTCCTGAGTGAGGCCGAGGTAGTGTCCTTAGCAGTTTTCCTAGTAGGGGTGCCAGGCCTAGTACTGGACGCTGAGAGGCAGCTTGGTAAGGTGGCCTGTGCCCTGGCAAAGGGCCTAAATACAACTTCACAGGCCCTAGCTGCCCTCAATATTGAAATGAAAGAACTAAGAGGAGCTACTCTGCAAAATAGAGCAGCCATAGATTACTTGTTGCTGAGGCATAACCACGGATGTGAAGAGTTCGAGGGAATGTGTTGTTTTAATTTGACAGATAACTCCGAGTTGATAGAGTCAAAAGTGCAGAAGTTAAAAAAGGTTCTGTCCCACATTAAGCAAAGGGAAGGGTTCGACTTCTCATGGCTTACTTCTTGGCTTCCTAATTTTTCATGGCTTAAGCAAATTTTCCTATTAATTGTGGCAAGTATATGTATTTTCTTGATGATCTGTTGTGGGGTACATTGTGTGCCACTGTGTTGTGAGGTACTCAAGAAATCAATTTCTTCCCCCGTTCACCACGTGATGTTTGTAAAATCATCAGTTACAAACCCGATCCAAAACAATCGGGAGGAAGCAAAGAGATTTCTGGAGATGAGAAAGATAGTCGAGGACTATGGACCTTTTCCATAAGGACCATAGCCTCGAAGGGGGGATTTGATAAGCACCCCTTGTTTCAGGGGCACCTGGCTAAACCCCTAGGGACAGAAGTAAGGCTGGAAGCCATGTCCAGCAGAGATCCCCTGAACTTTTACTATGCATTTTCTACTTCAGGAACAGCTTTGTGTTCTGAAAAAGTATTTTATCTAACCAAGGGCATAGAGTAGGTTGTTTAGGCTGGGGGAGATCGCTTGTTGCTTAGTTGTTTAATTGCTGGCCTCACTAGAGGAAAAGCTGTATCAACAAAGTTCTGGAGCTGGAAGGGGGGTTACTTGGGAGGGAGCTGGAAGGGGGGTTACTTGCTGGGCTTGCTACACATTTCATCACATCAGCAAGTTTAACCTGTTACGCAGCTATATAAGGCAGACGCCCACTGGGGTGGGGGTGCTTGCTTGCGAACGATTGCCAAGCGCCACTTTCTGCGCAGAAATAAAGATTAAGTTGGATCCTTCACCCCTGTGTGTTTATTGGCACAAGCGCACCGGGCACGAACTCACTGTCCTTTGGGGACAACATGGGCACAGTTTCTTTGGTTTCTAGAATCATCTCAACTTATGTCTCTGGAGGATCTGGTACCCAGTATGTAAATTTGAATTCTCTCAGTTTAGAATTGACTTGCAGTTGTTTTGTGTCTTCATCTCTAGATTGCCTAAGAACATGTAGGATAGAAGGCTGTTGATTGACCCTGCAAGCTTTCTGAGCTTCATTTGAAGATGAGGAAAAATAACTGCTTCCGTCAAATGAAGCATGCCAGCTATCACTCATGCCTCATTAAGGAAGCAGGCTTTAATCACAGGATGGAAACAGTTCCTCTTGGGTGAGTCTTGAATCCAGTTCAGTGGTGGGAGTCTCTCAACTCCTGGGACTTCGTGTACTTTTCAGAAGAAACATGAGCATCGGTTGCATTTTTTAAATTTCCCTCAAGCATTTTTTTTTATTTCCTTCAAGCTTTTCCAGGGCAGTCATTATTTTGGTATTTGAACCCTTTCAAAATATTAGCAAATTTATCATAGACTCTATAATTCCTTGTTTCCATCCTTATCTTGTGTATGCAGTCTTAATATCACAACTGGATCAAGCACAGAGAAAGACCTGGTCCACAGGCAAAGCTGTCTCAGTTTAGGTAAAGGTGGGAGAGGGCAGAGGGCGCTATATACTAATTTAGTTAAACTACTGGAACGTTGCATGTGGACATGCCTACCCTTTTATATTTGGCCTATTTTGAGGTTGGCGTGTGTCAATGCAGTAAAAGTGCCAGACAAACTGATATAAGCTGTGTATAACCTATATAAAAGTGCCCACACAGAAAAGCTGCACCAGTTACTTGAGCTAATTTAAACCTGGGAAAATCTGTGTAGATAAGTTGTAAGGGATTTCCTCAAACTCATGTAGAAGTCTCTGGCACAGTTTAAAACAAAACCCAGATCTTAAGCTTTCAAGTGCATTGCTGAACCCTGAATTCAGCTGAATGACAGTAGCATTTCAATGGGTAGGCAAGGGGGGCACGAGCCTCAGGTGCTGCCTAAAGGGAGCCACTGGAATAGATGAAGGGGAGTTAGGAGGGTGAGGGCCTCTCTAGCTCTGTTCTCCCCTTTCAAACCTGCACGCTGCACCTTTCCTGCAGCTGCTCTTGCAGCAGGGAAGGAATATATGCCACTGCTGCCCAGAGTACAGTACTGGCCAGTTATGCCTCTGGCTATACCCAAGAATAATTGACACATAGGGCAGCACTGGAGGGGCATGCCCCCCCCC